GGAAAAAAAGAGAAAACAATAAAAAGGTTAGAAAGGAAGGTAAAGAAAGGGGAATGAAATAAAATTTCAGGGGCTGTCTTGGACACAATTTCTCAGTTTTCATCGAAATTTTGCCTCGTTCCTTATTCCACTCCTCAATTACCTTTTACTTGTATGGAACTTCGATAAAATTCAACTAAGATTATATTTAATGTATTCAGAAAAAAATATAAAGGTTCAGAATCATAAGTAGTTGAGTTTTAAAACCAAAATAGAGTAGGGGAACTCCTATGCAGGTTTAACTATTCGTTTAAAACTGTCTTAAAGTAGTACATTTTATTGGTTAGGAATCCTTTTAATATACTGGTTTGAGGTTTTGAGCAGATGCAGTAAAACAGACATTCTTCCTATGTGTGCTTTTGATTTGTTATGAGTTTGTTTCGGACTGATCCTGATATCTTGCGTCATCGTTCTTAAGTTGATATCCTACTACTTAAATGTTCAGGGGAAATATGAGGAGACAGTAAAAGAGTGTACAAAGGCATTAGAGCTGAATCCTACATACTTGAAAGCTCTTTTAAGAAGAGCAGAGGCACGCGAAAAGCTAGAACAATATGACGAGTCGATTGCTGGTAAGGTTAAGGACGAGACGTCTAAAGTTACTGTTTAGTTGTGGAGGATAAACTATAATTATTGCTTGTTGCCACATTCATAATTGCTTGCTTTCTGTCATTTTCTAGTGGTTTGGTTTAGTAATTTATTTTAGCTTTTCTCAACATTGTTTTCGTTTCCAATATTCTTCTATTTTCTTCTTTTGCAGATTTGACTAAAATCGTAGAATTGGATCCATCAAACGACCAGGCTAGGAGAAGTGTAATCCGTTTAAAGCCGTTGGCTGATGAAAAGCGTGAAAAGATGAAAGAAGAGATGATGGGTAAGTTAAACTCTTTTACATATGTGGATCTGGTATTTATATTCTAAATTTTTCCATCAGTATCTTAGTGACCATGATGGTCGCTGGTAGGGGCGGGTTTGGTACGGTTGCTCTTCCAAACCCCTCATACCATTACCATTACCCAAATTTTGGTGTTGCAAGAATCATTACCGTTACCCTACGAAAAATTTTGGTATACCCAAGTTCGTTATGGTACGGTATGGTAATGGTTATTACACAATTCATTCTGAATACCATTTGTGTCAAAATTGAATTTTATTTGCCAAAAATCTTATACTATACAACAAACATTTTTTTAACAATAGCTGAAATTGTCAAATCTTTTCATAATATTTTTTAACAATCAAATGTATAGTATTGAAGATGTTTATTCACAAGTAGTCAAGAAAATAGTTCATTAAAAATTTTGTCACTAAGTTTTGAATTGTTAAGCAAAATCACGAAAAAATTGTATACTATAGCACACATTTTTGCTAGAAATCGCCGAAATGTTCGAGTAATTTTTAAATTTTTTTAACACTAAATTATACAGTATAGAAGATTAGTCAATAATAGTTCGTCTAAAAAATGTCCGTACTAATTTTTGAATAGTCGAACAAAATCACAAAAAAGAGTGCACAAATTTTTTGGTAAACATCGCTGAAATGTTCAAATCCTTTCCTAACACATAAATATGTAGTATCTATTCATAAGTAGTCAAGAAATAGTTCATCTAGAATTGTTTCACTGATTTTTGAACAGTTTAAGTAGATTTAGAAAAAACCTTATACTGATGAAAACAGTTGAAATGTTCAAATGTAATTTTTATATTTTTTAGTATTCAATTATATAATATAAAAGATATTTATCGATAAGTAGTCAAGAAATTGTTCATCAAAAAATTCTCTCAATATGTTTTGAATAGTCAAGAAAAATCACAAAAAATTGTATACTATAGCTCACATTTTTTTTGCTAAAAATAGATGAAATGTTTAAATCTTTTTTTAATCTTTTTTTAATATTTTTTAGCACTCAAACAGATAGTATTGAAGATGTTTATTCGTAAGTAGTTTAAAAATAGTTCTCAATATTTGTTCCATTAATTTTTTAATCGTCAAGCGGAATCACAAAAAGATCATATATTATACCAAAAATCGTTAAGTATAAGAAAATGTGCACGCACCGAGAAAAGATACGAACCCACTAGAAATTTCACGAGTGTTGACATAAATGCAAGAGCATTAGCAACTGTTTATTGTTCTGAAATTGTACAATGGCATGGTGAACATTATGGGTAAGTACTGTTGGATTTTGTATGTATTATATCTACCTTCCAGCTTCTGTCACATTGTTCTCTCGTTACTTGTGTTTGGAACTAGTGTGCTTCAACATTAACTAGAACAAGATCGTTTAATAGACTTAGTAGTGTTTTCTGCTGTTACGTTGGAGATTGATGTAGCTTTGAATGTTTATTCATGAACTAGTAGATGCAAATATACATAAAACGGAGTTCCCATGTCTTTCATTGAGTCTTTACTCTCCAATAGTTTATACGGACATAATATAAAACAATGTGTTTGTAGGTTGAGTTCATTGCCATTCTTTTGTTGAAGGTGTTGTATAATTATAAGGTTGTTCTACATATTATAAAACGGGTTTACATTTTTATTGCAGGGAAACTGAAAGAGATGGGGAATTCCATTCTGGGTCGCTTTGGAATGAGCGTCGACAACTTTAAAGCTGTCAAAGATCCAAATACTGGCTCTTATTCTGTTCAATTTCAACGTTAGATGTGCTTGCTTTTTCTTTCATCGTAAGAACATATATTTGTTCCAAAGGAGAACGTTAGATAAGTAATATAGCTAATAGCTCTTGAAAAGTGCTGCCAAGCGGGATTGCTTGTTCTGATTATTTTTGTTCCAAGTCTTCTCGTTTTGATCATGCAATTGTGACGCGCTGTATTTTTTGTGCATAATAATACAGAGTCCTGTGATTGACTTTTTACGTTGCTTTCATTTCTTTGATGCAAAATTTACTCCTATTAAGATAAGTAGTTCTATAGTGTTATTGGTTAAATATTTTATAGCTGGAAACTATTTCTCCTCCAGTGTCTATAAAGGTAAATCGTATCATCGTTTTTCCTCGAACACAATTATACCCACTGCGCACACACTTTGTCGTAATAACTTGAATCCTTTACATTTCACAGGGTGGGAGTTTTATCCTCTTTATCTTTGACAGTGTTTCTTGTCCTGTTAGTTCTCGAGGGTATACTGCAGTTAACATGAGGTTTTAGAACAACAGACGGGTATATAATCCAGTGAAAACATCTATTAAACATTCCGTGCTATTTCCATCGTAAACATAAGAGTCGTTTATATTAAAGTGACAAAAGGGTACACCAAATTATCAACACTCTACAAGTGGACAACCTCTCTTTATAAGTGCTAGAAAGAATCAAGAAAATAAATATCATGTCTTGAAATCAATGTGTCAGATTCAAGTAGATCCACATCAATAACTGTACAATCAATGCCAGAACAATTCCTTCATCTTACCACACTAAGGAAAACTGACCATAAAAAGAAATATACCTCAGTACTGCCTACTATCTGGAATCCACTCAAATTAAGTTCAAACTGGAAGATTGTTGACTTTGAGGTGCACCAGTCGACACAGTCGGCTCCTCGATGAAAGGGTTCCCAGGCGTACTGATAGAACCGTGCTCGACTATTGGTTTCTCTTGCTGCTGCATGGAGACTTCAGGCAGGGGCATTTCGGTCATTTGCATAAAATCGGGGACAACAAACGATGATTCTTGTAGTTGAAGTTGAGGTTGTTGAATCTGAGGTTGTTGTTGGTCTACAAAAGCTGGTTCCTGCTGTGGGATTCCGGCCATCTGCATGTAATCATAACCCATGATTGGCTGTTGGATTTGTTGGACATCTTGTTGCTGCGAATATAGTGCTATTGCTTGCTGTTGGGGGGTTGGATCGGGAACCTGCATGATAAAACTTGGGTGTTGCGCTGCGAGGGTAGGATCGTAAAACACCAATTCTTGACCGTAGCTGTCAGATTCGAAAGGATTGGAAGAGACGTTTGAAGTCTGATAATTGGCTCCATTTGTGTTTGGTGTCGTCAGTGCTGCATCGTATAGACTGTCGAGTATTGATCTATCTAGAACACCTCCCTGTTTTCATATGTTCCATTCAACAAGAAAGATGAGGAATTTTTCAGAAAATATTTTAATCTATTTTGAATATTAAATCATATGTTGTAAATCAATGTGTTAAGAAATTAAAGTGTTTTCATATCCTTAAATGAAAAGTTCACCTTGCTGACCGCAATTGAAGCGGCATCCGGAAGTGTTGTAATTAGTGCAAGCTCCCAACTAGCTGGTTCGCTTGAAGATTCTACACATAACAGAGGGAAAAATATCTTCAGATACTTGCAAACTAGTAAAAGTTTTATACAACAGAGAACATGAATCACCTGGTGCAGTAATCGAAAGGGGGGTGGAATTATTTTCGTCCAATTCAGGTGCTTCTTGAATTGGGTCATCCCAGCTCTGAGAAGTACATAAATTTATTTGAGTAAATTATTAGACACTGGTCAATATTTGAATCCAAAACTATGATGCATCAGAATTCCGTACCAATAGATCAGGAATCAACGGTGCAGCATCTGTTTCACTCTTATCAGTCTTTGCGCTCTCCTCAGATTCAACAGATGAGACCGTCTCCAAACTTTGTTCAGGGACAGCAATCAGTTTGGGAGTAATGCACTTATCATCATTCTGATGATTCAAGTAGGAAAAAAATATGTTAGAAATGCTTCATTTTCATACCAGAAGAAGAGATTTTTTCAACATCCGGTGGTCAGCATGTTTAGAAGTATTTAAAGAGACTTTTAATGAATTGAGGCCTTCATACATACATCTGTCCACGGAAGCATTAACGGTTGTGGGGCATCCTTTATGTACTCTTCCATGGCTGTAATAAATGATGCAGGGGGCTGCAGTTTGATAGCAGAGCAAATAAAGGATTTAAAACGATGGGAAATGTAATGATTTTGAAGGAACAAAAAAATATAAAAAATAGTGAAGTATATGGTATTTCTACCTGTTCAATTTTGACATACTTCTGTCTCCGTCCAAAGTCGAGAGCCCTGCATATCTCGAAGAACTCAGATAACCTCTGGGCCTGCGGCAACATGCATAAAAGTATTGGAATAGGCCTACGACGTTAACAAACGTGTGTATTTGCACAGCATACTCAAATACTCATTACATACTTGTTCGCTTGACTTTCGATATATTTCAAGTGTTCTCACTGCATCTCGGCGTTGCATCTCGAAAAACTGTTCAGCATAGAAGTAAGTCATTAGTGCTGGTTCTTATGAAGAAATAATTGTTTTTCATGGAAATAGTTGAAAACTAATCCAAACCTTGTCAACCAAAATCAGCACTCCATCCGTTATTGCTACATAAAGCCTCACACTTTCTGCTGCAACCTAAAGTAGAACATTATAAGGCAAGAAAAGAACTATAACCAAATCAAGTTATTAGTGTGCATGAAAAGAGGAGATTAAAGCTAAGAACTGCTCACAATTGAAAGGGCATACTGAATCATGAAATTGTATCGGGCTGCACCAGCTGGCTGCAAAATTTCAGGCAATAAAAAAATTCAAGTTTATTTTCGGCAGTATAGATGTTGTCATATTGGACATTAAGAGAGAATATAAATTTCCAAACCAAGTAATTGCCAATTCAATACCTCGCAACCAAGGAGACGGAAAAGAAGTTGTTGCAAAGCGGGCAAGTGTTCGAGCAAAGCAGGAGTATCAAACTTCTTCGTTCTCTGCAAACAAACAGTTAGCTCATGACAAAGAAGTGGGGCATATTACACCAATCTCGTCACTATTTTCGGATATCAACCAAGTCAGCAAAAAAGTAACGGTCATATAATTCATCTTATTTGAAGTATCCTAATCTCCAATTCCGTTAAACTGTGTTAAGAGATATATTGTTTGATGGAAGATACCAGATCCTGATCCAGATTAGTGGAACTCTAAATGATAAATAAGAGACATCCTATTTTTTTAGTCAAAAACTGTGTATGATACACTAAAAGGCTTAATACGAGGAAGAATAGTAGAGTGAAGTAAAGATCATTGGACAATACATCAAAGTTATTTATTCCGATAGTCAAGAACCACACAATAAAATACAATATGAAGTTTTCCACACAAGAGAAACGCATACCGAGTGATCTCTGTGGAAATCGTATTTTAGCACACGGAAACATTCTAGGCACTCCTCAATATACAGAGCATATGCACGAATCCAAGTGGAATAATCCCAGGCTTAAAATCAGAAATCTCAAATGGTCAGTTCACCACATGATGTATTAGTAATTGATAAAAGTCGAAGAACCAGGAAATACCACTTGGGCTTGATTCATCCTTGAAATGCAATAAATTCAATAAATGACCTCTGCTTTTGTTATGGTAAATTAGTTCCTCACAAAATGAATGATCAACTTCCCTCAATGCACGATGTATAACAATCAAAGTTTTCAGTGCAACCTGTGAAGAGAAAAAGTAAAATTTTTTAAAAGGAAAAATAACATACTCAAAGAGCAGTTATCTGTACAACACAATCTCGCATGAGAGAAAATCAAATTTCTGAACTGTAATGAAAGAGAATACGTGCACAACAATAAAAATTTTGAATGCTGGTGTCAAACATGAGTTCAAAGTGTACTAGGAATTAGCTCTTCCATGTGGTGGAAACAACTCAAAAACAAGTAATGAAAAGAAAGTGAATTTAAGAAGGGATTAGAAGCTTACCACCCATGTACGTGTTTTTGCAAGACGCCTAGTGAGTGTATGTATGCAATAAGAAACATCTGCTCGAGGTCTTGAACCAGAAACTGCACCAAGAATAACTGAAGAAAAAGAGAAATAGATAAATATTTTTCGTTAATTTTCACCTCCATCAGGTCATTCAGAAAATGACATCTAGACGGAATAAGTTACTGGTAAGATATTTAATAAAAATAGAAAAGAAGTTAAGGGCAGAATGTTGAACTCACTTCTTACATGCTTCTCTTTCGGCAAGACTTCAACATGGTTTGTGGCTTTAAGAATGGAAACATTGAGCTCCTGAAATAATTAACATTATGTACAACCTTTTATCATCAAGAGATCTCAGCACATTGATGTTAGAATACCACCTTATATTCACTGTTGACTTTCGCTATTCCAACTGATGTAGAGTCTTTAATAACTCCAATAGCTTTTCTGAAATTCTGTTGGCTGCTACTTCCAGCAGCCATCTCAGACAAGCCAAAACCCGAGAAATTTAAAAAGCTAAATTGGAGAACCTATAAAATTAACAAGGAAAGGAGGTATGAGTTTATAAATCCAATCATTTATACATACAGAGTAGATACCTATTATCGATAAAGTTAGCAATATGATAGGGATGAGAATGATAACATCTACATCATTTTCACCTACAAAGTTCATTGGAGGTTAACATCGGTATATCAACTGATAATATTTTATATAAAAGAGATTGGCTTCCATATGTAATTTTTTTAGCCGATCCGTTAAGCTTCTGTCCTTATATTTATGATACAGTCATCGTCATGATAAACTTTCTCACTTTAAGTGCATACATTTTATTCCATTATTTTTCTAAGTGCAGGCCAAGCTCACACCTTAAGCGGTTGACATTTGGATTTCCACACGCGCAGTACAACCTTATTTTCTCAAGACAACAACCAAATGCTCCAATAGGTAAAAAGCCATTTGAGCAGAGTGTTAAGGTTTTGTTTCAGAAAATAGACAGAAAACATTCAAAATTATGCATCAGCAATTACTTGTTTTTTCAATTTAAAATTACTGTCGAATTTCGTGAAGAAATGATTTAGGAACATTGGCTGGTCTGCAACAATTTGTAAACATCATCCCCAACAAATTACACATAAATGAAAAAAAATAAAAATTCTACAGATCGATGTTCTGCACATTCAAATTCCCTCGCAGGAAAATGGAGAAGGCAACAGCGCATAAATGTAAAACAATAATTCGCCATCAGATGATTATAAAAGAACCACCATGACCGCCATTATTATTTATTCACCTATCGCAATTCGTAACAAGTACACATTTCTCCTTCCGAACATATCTGTGTGTGTGTGTGAGAGAGAGAGAGAGAGAGAGATTGGGGGAAAACGATTTACCTTGTGAAACGATCGCCGGCTGGTTTCCGGCAATCACGCCGTCACCTAAACAGCAGAGAGAGAGAGAGAGAGAGAGAGAGAGAGAGAGAGAGAGAGAGAGAGAGAAAATGAAAATACGATAGATTTGCGATCAAAGTGCAGACATTTCTTCCATTGACGAAAGGAATACGAATCGAATCAACCCCTCTACACGTCTAAATTGTTTGGTCGCAATTTGCATGCTTGTATTATATTAATAAAATAAAATTAAAAACCTTCAACTCGGAAAATAATATATTAATAAATTTATTTAATTACCTTTTTATTATAAATAGCATAATACTATTATGAGAAATCAAATATGTTGTGGTTAGTGTTAGTCCAATTGCCCTGCTGACTCAGCACGGCAATTGGAAGCACAAGTCGTCTACGTGGAAGGCAGCTGAGCTGGCAGAAATTTGCTTACAACGAGTTGATTTGTGCTTACTTCCGTTTCGGTTTGTTTTTGGTTTCGGTTTGATTTATGTGCTACTAAACTCCATAGAATGTCGATAATAAAGAAGCCACCATTGTTGTTCCCGTGGACGTAGGATTACACTGATCCGAACCACGTAATCTCGGGTGTTCTTCGTCTTTAATCAACTATTTATATTGTGAGTTTTGTTTGATCCAATTCACAACAACAATAATATCACTAATTGTATAATCAAATAATAATTATTATTATTATTTTAGGACACAATTTTTTCAAATTACAAAACTATGCAACATGTTCATCAATACAGCAACAATGTTTATTCCAACTATAAGATGTCAAAATAGTATCATTTATTTCAATCCATCTATGAATGATTAATCAATCAGCTCTAATTCTCTCCTCTTAATCGCGATTTGCTGTCAAAAATCGACCCAAATATTATGTTATGTGCTAAAATCCTACACACAACAAACAATACCTATAATTAATTCGTCTAAAACTAAAGAATGTAGAGGGCTTTTTCGTCATTCGTTATCAGACAGCCGCTTCTGTGCCCAAATTTCAGCATGCTGCTCCAAGTACTCTGTGCTATTCATTTCTGTTAACCTGTAAATAACAAATTCGATTTTTCTTTAATTAAATAACACGGGAATATTTTTTAGCGATTTGATAGAACACGGAGTACTAAATGCAATAAACTCGTAATTTGTAATTTGGGGGGAAATTAAAAAAAAAATGAAAACAAATATTACCTACTAATGGTGCGATCTTTTGCAAAACCTAATTCATTGTCAACACAAATGTCAGAATCGTCAGATTTTCTCGATCTCGAAGAAGTTCTAGGTGCCATTTGCTGAGCATCAGCTATTGTTACGATTCGGTCAAATAGTTCGACAGGTGTCCCCTCAGCTGTGCATAATAATCTACCTCTGTTCTCATACATAACCTATATATATATAACACAACATATAATCGCTTTTAATTAACTCCTCGAAAAAAAAATCGAATAATCCGAGAAAACAAATTTTATTTAATAAGTGTGTGAAGGAATAACTAACATCAACTAAAGTGACAAACCGGTACGCTGCAGTCCTATTGGACAGCCCGAAAATCGGCACACCGTCCAAAGCCAGCGTATGAAACTTCTCTGGTAAGAATAAAAAATAAATAAATTCGTGCAATTAAAAGAATTAAATCTTAATTCTATTTTAGCAAACTCGAGATATCAAATGACTCACTAAATAGCCCGAAATAATCTGCGGCTCCAAGTGGTCTGTCGCAGAGTTCCTCGAAAGGAAAATAAGCGCATCCATTTGCGCCCGCAGGAACCTAAATAATTAAGAGAATCGAATTAGAAATAATAAAATCAAATTTCAATATAAAAATAGACATATATTTGTTTAAAATCGAGATGGTTACGGACCTGTAATTTTCTTCCCATGACAACTTCCACTTCTTGCGGAACGGCTATTTGTTCGCCGTTTAATTGTTGGAATTTTTGCTTAAGAAGGCTCGACAAATGTTTGCCTACAAAGTAGAAACCTTGCTCTGCCTGGAATTAAGATAAAAAAACGAACCACATGCAGAGTAAATAGAACGTACGTATGTTGTAAGAGAAAAGAAGGGTAAATACGTCATTTTGCGGTGGAAAAACCGAGAAATCTGGAAACTGTACCGATGTCATTTTGCGGTAGTCCACAGATGAACCAATTTGATGAACTATACATCTTTCCTACATCAGAATCAAATTGCCATCATAAATAACGAAAATATATATATATATATATATATATATATATATATATATATATATATATATATATATATATATATATATATATATTTTTTTTTTTTTTGAGAGAAGAAATATACATACTTGTAAAGCATCAATAAACGGAAGAAACAAGTCCCGTTGCAGCCCCCCTTCATAAAGTTTATCTGGAGCTCGGTTCGAAGTAGAAACGAGAATCTTTTTCATGTAACCAACCACATTACAAAATAAAAATTAAAACATATTATGGGCAACAAATCATTTCATTTACGGAATAATCGGAAAAAAAAAAAAAAACCGGAATGAGGATGTTAGAAAATATACTTACAACTCCATCTCTGAATAAATGTCTAAACATGCGGTTTAGAATTAATGCATCAGCAACATCAGTCACCTAATAATATTGAATACCGAAAATGATTGCCGATTAAGTTCTAAACAAAATAATCAAATGTATTTTACTAGATAAAAATACCACAAAATGATTAAAAAAAATTACGACTACTTACCATAAACTCGTCGAGGCATAATAATATAGATTCATCCGATATCTCTCCAGCAACAACTTCTAAAGGATCCGCCACCCCTCTGTGCTTCTGCAATGATATTTTTTATATCTAAATGCTTCAAGATTTCAATAGCATCATATAATATCGAAAAATACGTTATATCGTACAAAAATCGTATCTAAAAATCGAAGGGAAAAGTAACACAAGAGAAGTAGTACTTGCAAACGGCTGTGAACATTTAGCATAAAGTCATGGAAATGGATCCTCTTCTTCCTCCAATTACATGGTCTGTCAAAATTTGCGTGCCAATTACAATATCGATAAAACTGTTTTTTTTTTTTTTTGGTGGGGGCGGGGGCGGGGGTTAATTTAAATTTGATTCTTACAGCTGATAAAAGAATAAGTCCATCAACATAGTTTTGCCGGTGCCAACTCCGCCGTAGAGATAAAGTCCTTTAACAGGGGCATACGATGTTTGGGGAATAAAACGGGACCACAACCACCGACTCCTGTATAAAAAAAATCGATCATTAAACAAAGGCGACGCACATTTGAAGAGTATAGATATATATATAAAAAAAAATTAAAAAAATAATGGAACTTGTTAAATACAACAACAGACACGAGAAATTGTGTTGCGCACCAAATAATATATTCATTAAATCCCGAAAAACAGAGACTTGATTATAACTTACCTCCCATCTTTCTTGGAAGTAGCATATCTATCCAATCGACAATCTTCTGCATTTTCGACAAGCTCGTCGTATAGTCTTTGAAGCTCTCCTAGGGTATTGAGCTGCAGAGTCGTAATTCATATACGGTTGGAAATTAGCTATATACATATGCATTGCAAGCATGTAATATAAGCAATTAGATCAAGTTAATTGCCTTGAGTTTGAATGTGATACCATTAACACGTATCGAAATAGTAATTTAAGTTTAAATAGAAGTTAAAAAAAAACAAAAAACAAATTGTCATATAGCACTATTAATTAACCCTAAAATCAACAAAAAAATACAATAATTAACAATTAACATACCTGACAGGAATCTCCATCCAAAAGTTCACCAGCAGCAACTCGTCGCTCGTATTCTACGAGAGGCCCTCCTCTATTTAGTTCTGCCATCAAATATATTTATCAAATTAAAAACCGGGAAAATTGTGAATTCAAATTCCAACTTATAAAGTTGGATTCTTGGAAAAAAAAAACAATGCTACAACCTTTATTGGTAACTTTAGCTGCATCGGATGAAATAGCTCGGTGGATCATGTACGATTCATGTTTACATCGATGAATGTATGTGCTACCGGATAGGCTATATATAGAGCGGTGATTCGTATCGGGCCAAAAATCTCGTCTTTTGGCAGAGCCATTGTAGATAAAGTTTGCTCTGTACTGAAAAACTGGCCTAAATTTCCTCAAAACCCGAATAACTGTCCTCATTCTTGTATAATGCTTACAAGTTACAATGACTTATAATTCACCGAAAATTTGTTCTGCAGAGGCTCGAAACACCGGAAGTTCTTCAATCGAAAAAAAAATCACGAAATAAGCTGCATTCAATTAAGACAAATTAAATAAGGAGAAATCTTTACAAATTATGGTTATTTCATATTTCAACTTGCAGGCAATACTAACATTCCAAACTAATTTTTTTAAACATTACATCATTCAATAAAAGAATCAATTTTTAATCTTATTATATTCTCAATTCAATAATTAAAATTTATCAACTACTACTACCAAGTGTTAAAAGCTACAACAGTGCATAAATTGAAAAATAAAAAATAAAAAATAAAAAAATTAATCTATCACCATCATTAAGCAAACACCCCATCCAATTAAATTCAAGAAACAAAAAACCCAAATCTACGCATGCAAGAAATCAAAGAGAGAGAGAGAGAGAGAGAGAGAGAGAGAGAGAGAGAGAGAGAGAGAGAGAGAGAAGAAGAAAAAGTCAACAAGCAAACCTGATTAATGGTGCAGAATTCGTAAAGAGCTGATCTCTTGAGAGATTGAAACGGAAACTGAAATTAAATACTCGCATGCATGTCAAAACTCACAATCTGCAGATAGATACACTCTGTATATATATTCTTCAAGAATCAATCAAGAATGAATTAAATGAAGAAATTATAAATAAATAAAAAAATCAAATCTTTGTGTGGGTAATTTACAAGTATATATGTCTGAAGAATTATAAATTCTATATATCTGAAGAGGGTGGTTGAAGAACAGGAGTTCGGGATCTGGGTTTCTCTCCAATTGTTTTTTTAGCTTTGCTTCGCGTGCTGTTCTTTTCTTTTTCTTTTTTTCTGTTTTATATTTTATTTTTATTTACACGCAAGTGGAGATACTAGATGTGATAGAAGAATTAATTAACGTTTAATGAGTTATATTTTATATATATAAAAAAGGATTAATTAATTAATTAATTGATTAATGCCGACCTGACGAGGTTTACAGCCATGTTTCATGACAATGCCATCTGCAATTAACAATTAATTTCGTTTCTTTTTAGCAACTATAATTATTTTCTTTTATTTTTTAGCAAATACTTAATCAGCAAATTATATATACAGTTAAATCTTTATAAATTAATACAGTCGTAGCTAACAAAATTATATTAATTTAGAAATATTAAATAATTGAGCTAATAATTTAGTACGTTTTTATCGAGTCGGGACTGGGAAAAATTATTAATTTATCGAGTATTAATTTTCCTATTATATTGTATGCATGGTAGTTAATCTCGCGATATACCGCGATATATATCGCGATACGGTATGGTTCCAATCAAAACGATACAACTCGAGTTATGTATCGCCTATTGATAAATACCGTTAAATATCGCGAGATATCATATCGTATCGCTGTATCACGATACGATACGATATTTACGATATTTAAAAAAATGAAAAAAACGAAGAAAAAAAACAAGAAATGCAGTCAACTGCTCTCAAAAACGGTTTAGAAAAGATTTCTTCAATATCCCAACCCTAATTCACACTTTTCTCTTCATTTTCTTCACCAATCCTCACAATATTACAACCCTAATTCAATTGCTATAGATTCTTGCGATTCAAGATCAATTCGAGGCGTTTTTTTGCTGGATTTTGCGATTGATGATGATGAATGCAATCGTTTAAAACTGGTAGATGAGGACGATTTAAGTGACACTGATATTCAAAATTATGGGATATCGAATATTTTAGAAATTAGGTATTCGGATTTGAACTTACAGAGAATTTGGCTAAGCTTATTTACATCTGATAAGTTGTTTTAAGAGCTGATAAGTTGTTACGTCTTACTTTTAAAATTATTTTTTTCAAGTGTTTGGATAGTGATCTTACAAGCTATTTTACTCATTATAAGATCTTAAATAAATAGGTGGGGTAATGTACTTTAAAAAAAAAAAATCTTATTTGCTCTCGAGTAGCATATAATATTTTGATTTTTTAAGATCTTTTGAAAAAAAATTACCTAACACACTGGAATAGCTCTTAAACATCTTATAAGTTCGTTTTAACATCTTATAAGCCTAGCCAAACACCCTCTTAAATGATGTTATTTGATGAACATATATGATTTTTGTCATATTTTGCAATAAGTAGATATATTAAATTTTACATATTTATAATATGTTTATAATGTAGATATATATTTTTTACTATTTTAATAGTTGGTTAAATATCTTACGATACGATAACGATACGATACGAGACGTGGAGCAAAACGATATGAGATATTTTTACGATCCGATAACCATGATTGTATGTTAGTGATGAACAAAATTCGGGCCAGGCTTATCTAGCGCGGCCCGCCCGCAATACAGGCCCGTGAAGTCCGCCCACAGCAAGCCCGTGGATTCAAATAAATAGGCCCATTAACGAAGAAATTGAGGTAGGGGTGCAATAGTCATTTCACAAACCACATATTTCCTTGGTCCATTTCTCCCACCTCAGTCAGCAGCACTTTGCACCAAAACCCAATTACGACGCCGTTTTGTTAGCAGCTATGGCGAATCAAGGAGCGAAGAAACGCAAAGAGGAAAACGCCCGCCACATGAAAACCCTACTCCGCGTCATCATCGCCTCCAACGTAACAGCACAAAATCTCTTCAGTCGGATTCCTATTTTTTTTTGCCGATTTCTCGATTTTGTCGCCTGATCGAATTCAATTTGCTGATTTTTTTTTGAATTTTGAATTTTTTTTTAATTTTGGCGATAGGCGGTATATTTTGTGTTAAGGATGGTGGTATTCCACTCGAGTTTCACGTGGAAGCATTGGGCAGGCTTGATTTTGACTTCGCTCGCCTACGTCATCCCGTACCAACAGCTCGCCGCCATGGCCCAGCCCAGTTATAGCGGCGACGGCGATCTCCTCGATGGCGGATTCGATATGAGCACCGGCGGAATGTGTGGGTATGTATGTATTTGAGTTATTTCTTAGATGGATTATTAAATCACAAATGATTGTTTTGTCGATCTCTTAATTTTGGGCACTTGGTTTTACTATGAAGATGCAATTTTTCCATTGCAGATATTTGCATGATGTGATCTACATTACATGTTTCGTCCAACTCAGCTCCATCATTTCCGAAAAATTCTGGTACATATACTTGGTGGTAAGTTTTCTATCCCTCAACATTTTAGCTTTGAATGTGATGATGGTGTTGAGAAATGGATATATTCAACGAAACAAGTTTACTTTTAGCGTTGTTGCTTTTCGGTTTCCGATCCCTTTGTTCAAACAAAAGTAAAGTTAGATACAAAGTTCTTCTTGGAGCAAACAATACAAATTGTTTGCAGTGTAAATTATGGTTTGTTCGACATTATGAATATTCATACGACTGTCGTCTAAAATTATAACTGTGGAGAAATTTCGTTCATCCTGGGATCGTCTAAGTCGAATCAAGGGTTAGGGTTTGATTTCCACTTCCTACTGAGAGATATTGGTTCAACTCTTACTTTCTTGAAGTTACCACGTTTTCAAAATTTATTTCAACAATTGAACCACGACAATAAGTTTAATAATAGAATTGAAGTTATGAGATGAGGGCATTGCTTGTTGTCAGTCAAGTTGTAACTTATGCCGTCGCTGCAGATTGAAAAGATTTTTCATGAACCGTACTGATAGCTAATATCTCTGAACAATTGCACCATCTTTGAGCTTATAGTTCACTTAGTGTCCCGCTGCAAACTATTTGCATCAAGAAATGTACGATATAATTATGAGAAAATCCGCATCCACACAAAAATATTCAGTCGTGTTGTATGGTTAATGAAGTCAAAATTAACTTGATTGGATTTCTTGATATAATCCAGATTCCGGGATTTGCGGCATATCAACTATTTGGGCTTATCAGGGGATTTATGCCACAGGGTTCCGAGGTAATCAACTATTTTAGCTGTAAAATTACTTCAACATTGTTATATGGTATGCTCGAGGGTTCTCACTTGTAATCTTTGATGTGTGCAGGAGGGTGAAGAAGATGATAAGACGAGAAAGAAGAGAGAGAAGATGGAGAAGAGGGCTTCAAGGGGCAAGTTTGTCAAGACGAGGACCCGATAATGCAAATCTTCACACCATGAATTTAGAGTACAATTTTAGAGGGGAGTACTAATTCTATATATGCAGATTTAGATATTGCAAATGTCCCTCTAATGGTGTGTGCCTCACTTTGTTCCATATATATTTGAAATGCCAGATTTTGTTGTATCAATCCCTTCGAAATACTATGATGTAAGAGTATGGGCTTCGTTTGGCTGACGTGATTTTACTTTGACACAGTTTTGATGTTTAATTGCAAATTAGTCCCTTTATTAAAAATGGTGGTGTTTTTTAACCACCACAAATAACTAATGCAATTTGGTGACAATAATTTTATAATAGTTTCCACATATTCTATAATAATTCTAATGATTGTTACCAAAAAAAACAATCAAAAGAAACTTCAAAGACAGTTTCGACAGAGAGCAAAGCAGAACAAATGCTATACGTATATAAATTATATGAGCCATGAATTCAAAGTTTTAGTTTTCGATTAATTAACTGTACAAGCTCTAAAAGTATATACTTACAACATAATTTAACTTGCAGTTGTTTCTGCGACAGCTGTCAGAAGATTAAACTCGTGTTCCAAGGTCCACGTAGCTTCATTTTTATGGTTTATTCTGAAACCGTATTCTTGAAAGTATCCGTTAAATGTGATCACCGATACCGTGGCTCTGCAAAATCAGACAGAGATCTTCAATCGAAAGTCACACTTGTCCGAAATATATTAACATGCAAGTTTATATGAGTTTCCGCATATGTGCGTACAAACATGTTTTTTCATGCATCTTCAACATGTTGAACTGAATCTCTGACTGCATTACACGAAAGTGTTAAGCTGGTTTAAACGTATCTTTTGCGATCTTTTATCTTGATTGTTATCGAAGCTAACCTAAATCAGTTAGAACTCACCTCAAAGTTACAGGTTCAGACATTGATGTACCGCTTGCTTTCTCGATCTTTCGAATTACAGCATCACTGAAGCAAAAACGAGAAGAAGCATAATGAGCTTTTAAACAAGGAAGATATTCAAGAATCAATATTCCCAGCAACATTTCTTGTCAGTAAGTATAGTATTAAATAGAAAATAAAAAACCGAATGATTAGAGCCAATAAGTAATCAATATATCCGAACTTTGATCAGCCAGATTATCCATTTTTTTATAATCTTGTTTTTAATAACCAAGACGAAAGATGAAAAGAAAATAACTTTCACATTACAACAACGAGAAATATGCGTTTTTCTTTTTCGAAGGGTTATCTTTCTTCAACCTTTGAACAATTCATCGGTATAGGATATATTGTTGCCATCCTAGTCAGCATGTGATAAGCGAACAAATTGGACAGTTTATTTAGGTTTTGTAAGTCGGCTAACCTTCTAACTCCAGCTGCAAAAGCGTTGTGATGTACAATATGATGAGCAGGATCCCATGCATCAGTGACAGAACCAGGCATTATTGATCCAAAAAAACTATTTGATTTTCTGCTGCTGAATATAAAGGAATATGAGAATTAGTAAAACTAAAAACGGACCTAGCAGAAAATAAACATATTTTTTCTTTTTTTTACCCGAGTTAAATTACGATGGATGTAGAATTTACCTCTCGTTCAGATCCAAACCGAGGGAGAAAATATGGAGAGAACCTGAAGAGCTTGCTGCAAGAAGGAGATCGGGAAGATCAGCCGATGGTCCAAATGACAAAGAAAAAATGGTCGATGGATATGTGCCCCTACGGAAACTGTATGACTGACGAAGAGAAGACAGTTTAGTTTTCATATATAAGAAGCAAGAAAAAGACATCACATACGAGCAAAACGGCATTGAAATGCATTCTAATGTAGAGATGCTTCATAAAAATACTCCTAAGTTTGACAGACAAATTTCACATGTCTTAATCGTCAATACCGTTTTTTTTCCGTTTTGAAGCATCTCTACTTTAAAATGCAGTAAGGGTCAACGAAATCATAAAATAAGACATAATATTAATGTGTATTAATAAAAAGATCCGAAGTTGGATTGAAACAACAGAGAAACGAAAAGAAAATATCTCTTAACATAAGCGTAAATGATTTTTTGCTAATTTACCTTAGTTGCTTCTGAAATAAGATGAACTCTGATTATAGTTCCTTGTTCAGATGCCGTTGCTATATACATCCCATTTGAAGAAAAAGCCATGGCAGCCAATCTCGAGCGATGGGCATGTATCTGCAGTTTACCGTAACTAATTAAATTGGAGAGATGACAAGAACAAGTGCATTCATGGCTAACTACTTACCACATCATTCTAGCAAGCAAATAGATTATATTTTCACCATAAATCAATCGACTCTGTGCCAAGATTTATAAATATCACAAAATTTGAGTTTTCATCAACATGCTGAGAGGGAGGAGCGATAACTGACGTGCAAAAGGGATGGCAAATTTAACGAAAAGTTGCAAACTTCTCAAACGAAAGAAAATATTATTATTAAGGCAATGTCAAACTGATATACAGCTAATTAATATGATGATGTTCAAAATCAGTAAAATAAGTACGAACTTAAAACACCACCTCACAGTGCGACTGCAGATCCATAACATTGTAGATTAGTACAGAGCCTTTTATGGTACTAGCTGGAAGAGCCAAGTACGGATTTTCTATACTCGCTGAAAATGCACAAAGCCCTGAAAAAAAGAAAAAAAGAAGAGAAAAAAAAAACTGAAAATAGTAGAGGAAAAAGCAAACGCAAACTTTGAAACTGATTGCAATTGAAAAACAGAAAATAGATAGTGTAAACCGACCTAGTGAATTTGGCACTGTATCAATGATACGCTTTATTTCCAGACTATTAACATCATAAATATAAGTTTTCTCTTGCAATACAACTATCAATCTGCATATAAAGAGTAAATCCAAGAAACTAATAAAAATGACGAGATAATTTCTGAATAGCTAATAGAGATGCATAATTTGCACGACAAAACCTTATTAATAATAAAATTAAGAACTTTCTCATGTCAATTTTTGTCTCAACCTGGTGATTACTGATGATAACTATCGTCTGTACAATCCTTAAACAAATCGAACTTTTAATACTAGTTTGCTGCTTTTAGTAACAAGTCAAACCAACCTTTTTTTGGACGCTATTAAGTGGTATTCTTGTAAATTTCGAAGAAACCGAGTCAGTGAACAGTTTTACAGTAAGATGTAGATAATTATGTTAATAATTAGAGAAATGGCAGGATGTAAAATCGGTTCGTTCAGCCAGTATACTGAGCTCAACTTCTCTTAAAGCACCTTCAACTTATCTCCAATTAAACTAGATCAATGAATCGATTGCCGAGTAATGATGAAAAATTCAACCAATAAGTATTTATTTATTAGAAATAAGTAAGAAAAACTACCTCTTCCTATTTACACAAACAGCGAGAATTGAAGTCAAGAAGTTGAGTTCTCGAAGAGAAGTGCCACTAACTGTATTGAATAAACACAATCTCCTCGGCGACAAAGATGGCTGATTGAAGCAATGACATATAATAATAATAATAATAAATAATAATTGATAGTAATAACTAATAACAATAAAAAATAAATAAAATATAAATAAAAAATTAACCTGTTCACCAGCTCCGACTATGGCAAGAAAACTTGATCTGTAGAGCATTTCAACAATAATGAATGCTCCAATAACTATCAGAAGAAATCAGATTCCATCAAATTAAGTGACTGAAACAAAACTAAGTACTAAAACATTTAATAATTAATATACAACAACATACCTCGTTCATAAAGGAGCCTTCCAGTATCACAGTCGAATATTTTGAAGCCATCTTTCGTTCCAATTGCAAAGCAGCTGATGAACAAAAAAAATAACGAAAATTAAAAAAATAACGACTTCAAATTAGATTCAAACAAACAAAAAAAAAAATTAATTACAAGTAGGGTTTGGGCGAGAAACCTGTGATCTTGATTAAAGGAAGCGCAGAGTATCGGGTTAGAAGACGATTGATTCGCCATCTCCGACTTTAATAATTTCTCAATCGTTTTTGTATGATCAGGTTTTTTTTTTACCTTAAACAAACGACACCGTTTGACTTTCTCAAATCTTCTGATTGTTAACTTGGAAGCAAAGTTTTATCTTAAAACTTCAAATTAACGATTGAAACATCAAAAGTAAATAACATGTGATTAATGATGTACAAGATATGGTGTTTTGGCAACTTTTTAGTAAAATATTTATTATATCAAAGATAAAGTTACATGATAAATATATGAATTTATTAGTTATATATAAAAATAAAATCAGTTCCACGAGTGCCAAATTTAAAATAAGAGTTTATAGTAAAACCAAAATAATTTATGTTTGTCTTTCAAAATTAATACTTCTTGCCCCTGGCGTAAGGTTTATTTACGAAAAAAACGCTCATTTTTTCATAATTATATCCACCCCAACAACTTGTAGGTGTCTTACATTAACACCCTTTTGAGGGGGTGTGGATGTACGAAATGTACAAACTGTTGGGGATCGGATGTAATTTCTGAAAAAGAAGGGGTCTTTTTGTAATTAGACTTTACTTCATGGAGGTGGTTGTAATTTTCTATCTATACAATTACCAACTCAAGTCTACCTCAGCTCTCCAACATAAAATTACAGTATAGCAAGAATCAAGCACACAATTGGCATAATGTATACAAGACACTACAATATGAAATATTGGAAAATGAAAAAGAAAAAAAATATAAAAAATAACAGAACATAGAAATGGAAGCCAGCTAAAAAAGAAAAACACAATGAAGTTCTATAGTAATATCAAGATACAGCAAAAGTTTAAGGACCCCTAAAATATGCTTGATGTAAAGCTGAAAGATTTTTGTTTTTAATCGATCTTCACCGACGAGAAAAGGTAATGAACAAAGTAGAACGAAGTGAGGAAGCCAATAGTGCCGGTAGAAAGCATGATTGCGACCGCCATTATCAACGAATAGCCAAGGTAAAGTGTAGCGGAAACTGGACCGCTCAAACTCTGTAGGTCAAAAACCAGATAATTGATCGAGTATAAGAAAACGTACAGTGCAACCGAACCAGAGGCGTAGAATGCCTTCCACCACCACATCCAATCCTCGACACAGAGATGCATGTAAGTGAGCACGACAGAAACTTCCGCACAAACAACGACCAGTAAGGACAGTACAATAAGCAAGAAACCGAATACGTAATAGAACCTTCCGAGCCAAATACTGGACAGGATGAAGAAAAGTTCGATAAAGAGAGTTCCAAACGGAAGAGTTCCAGCACCAAGTACAAGCAGCCATGAGGGGTATTTGCGTGCAGGGATCTCTCTGGGGATTTGATTAGTTCGAACAGGGAATTGAATAGGCTCGGCCTTTGTGCCTAAATGCCCACCGACGAGAGTTAGTGGCACCGAAATACAGAACCAGAGCGACAAGAGTATGAAATATAAAGAAATAGGAATAGCTCCGGTACTGTTACTTCCCCAAAGGATGAAGTTCAAGATCGTCAGAATAACGAAAACAATTCCTGGGAAGAAGCACGCGGTTGACCAAGCAACCGATCTCCATCCTTCGGGCGAGCCTTTAATGGTCGTCCACATTCGAGCACCGACATATCCAGCGGCAATTCCAAGGAAGAGATAAAGCAGAATCATCCCTGTTAAAAGCATGCCTCGTGAGGCTGGTGACATGAAACCTAGAGCTGCAAAAACGATAGTGACAACTGCCATTCCGGTAATTTGAACTCCATCTCCAACCATAACACAGAGTAATTTCGAGTGTGAGGGTTCTCTGAATACATCACCCACCACTAGCTTCCATCCCGAAAGCTCCTCATTCATCTGGGCTTGAGCTTCTTTGTCCAGTTCCTCGTACCTCGTCAGATCCCTTCTCACGGTTCTCAAGAATATGACAAAGACAATGCCTGCCAAGAATAAGATCACCATCAAGGAGTTGAGAATCGAGAACCAGTGCACACGTGCGCCTTCCATTTTCAGATAGGCATCCCACCGAGACGGCCACCTTATGTTGCTTTTCACAAACTCGACCTCGTATGTGAATGACACTCTTTCTTTATCCCTTATAATCTGAGACCTCTCAGCGTCTAGAGGACAATTTACTGATGTGACATTGTCGTAAATGTGGAGTTTTTCCATCTTATCGGGGTCGTATTTTACACTGCACGGGACAACCTCAAAACCAACAATCTCGTACCCTGATGCCTTCTTTTTGTCAGCTTCTGAAATAACACCCATACCTTCTTCTCCAGTACCAATTATCTCCACACCAGCTCCTTCGTACTCGTGAATTAATACCCTGAACTTGAGATGGTTGATAAAGTAATCATCATTACTGTTCAGAGGACTGTATCCCACTGGGTATCCGGTCCACTGGATTTTAACCCCGTTTTGGTTTGTGTACCTCATAGCAGGCAAATTATCAAGAATCATGTTAACCTGATACAGATCCCGAGTTCTCTGTTTTAGAAGTTTAACATCATGCTCACTCAATGGAGGACTGGTGCAGATGTACACAGACTCGTTGACATTCATGCGGAAGCGATATGGAGAATTGTCAATTTGATCTCCCATTATCAGTTCTCCAAGATTTTCAGCACTTTTCTTAATGCCCCCTGGAGGCTGGCAATAAGGAAGACTGTAATAGCTGAAGGGAAGCTCAGTCTCAATGGAGGTCAAAGAATTCACTTTCGCGTATATTTCATCCCCTGTTGAATATGTGTGCATATAGCTTCCAGGTAGATAAAAACCATTACAAGCTTGGAAAATGAGAACCAAGTAACTGAAAGAAATGCATAAATTCCTTCCCGAAATCAAAGGCAAAGCCATTGTTCTGTCGAAGGAAAGCTGATCAAATGTCCTCAAACCAGCTGAATCAAAGTTAAATTGATGCCGATGGCATATTCAGATCAGTTCTGCAAAACAAAAGCTCAACACAATTAGTGTATTTCTCTCTAGTTGATGTATTGCAATTTGCAAATACATCATGTTCAATCCCTTGGCAGGAAACATACAAGATTTAGTAACATGTATTTGCTATACATACTCAGGTATTATTAACTATGGTGTGGATTATCGTCCTGTAGATATAGACATGCAGTAGTTAATATTAACATATGATATGAAATATGCAGATTTGTGCTGCTTAGTTAGCAGTTGGTGCAACTCGTCACACCAGTTTAACATCATTAATTAGTTAAAGCTAAAATCTGCCATCAGCAAAGTAAAATCAACCTTTTCCTCTCAGACCCACATAAGTCATGAGAACACTAAAACATCGTTTCTAAATAGCACAAAAGTAAATACATTAGGGTTGCACTTGTTTCAAATAACTAAAGCTTGATTTGTCAGATTCCGAAATTGGATCAACACCTGGAGAAACAGATTAATATATGTTCACTTATACGACTCTGCATCGGAATTGATTTTTACTATAACAACTTTCCGATTAACAGAGCAGGAATTAATTCTCCAACAAATTTGACAAAAAACGAACATGTACTCAGTCAACCTTTAATTTACTTCCCATAATAAATTCATATCGAAATAATCGTACAATCGTATACCAAACAATTCGAAACGGTACTCCGGGTAGGAAAACGGCAGCACCACAAACAAATTTACAAAAACAGAAATTGATATTCAATAAGAAGCTCCGAAATCGTATTCCTCAAGTGTTCAACAGTAAATCCACAACAATAAACCATAAACGCAATCCCATACACAGATCTACAGTAACGCACTCAAAATCAGTTCAAATCCAACGATTTTTTCAGAAAAGGAAAAAAAAAATCAGCGGAGCATCGGTTGAAAATCAGTAAACGACAAAAAAAAGCGATAATCACCACACACAAAAAAGAACGAAATTAAGAAGTTTAGGTTAGTGAAATTGACATCCGAACACACAAATTTACCAGTATGCGCGTATGAACTGTGAAGAGAGAAACGCACCGACAATGGATCTGGACTCGGATCGGCCGAGTTTAGGGCTTTCGCGCAGAGAAATGGAGTTTTACTTGCGAAGTCGAGAGTGCGTGTGTGTGTGTGTGTGTGTGAATTTCGGATGTGAGAGTGTGAAAAAAACTGTGCTGTATGGTTGCAGCAAATGCTCTATCGCGTGAGTGTGAAGGTTTAGATTTAGATCTCACTCAATGCTATAATACGCCTGCCTACCCTTTTTATTCCCAGTTGGCGTTTCGTTCGTTATATTTACCCCTAAAAGGAAATGGGGAAGATTGAAAATGACATTTCTTTACTATTTTAATTCTTCTTGTATTTTATATTACAAATATTTGTAAAATTTAACGAATTACTTTCTATATTTTGTTTGAATTTCAATTATAGATTTATGTAGAAGTTGCGTTGTCTTGTATGCTTAGGGTAAATTGCGGGCACCTCCCTATTGTAAGGTCAAATTACAAGAAAACTCCTTATCTTCTGATAACTACAACCACCCCTCCAATATGAATTTTCTTACACATCCACTCCTTATTGTGTCAACTTCAACATAATCTTCTAGATTATGTGGAATATTCTCTAGTTTGTACTCGTTTTATGCAAAAATACATTTTATGTTGCACCACAATCTGAAATTTATAAGTCAAGCCAAGGTACATATCTTATGATCATCTTGTTTCAAAATATGGAGCTCGGATGTAGTAAAACGGGTACAAATTAAAGATTATTCCACATAATCTAGAAAATTCTACTAAATTTAATACCGCAAAGATGGGTGTGTAAGAAGATTCGTAGTTGAAGGGAGTTGTTGTAATTACCCAAACATAAGGAGTAATTCGTAATTTAACCTTGCCTCCAGGGGTGGACGTAATTTACCCAAATATTTATTACTTACCAAAAAAAAAGATCAAATATTCATCAAACCAAAAGCCCCTCATTTCATCCACTGCATCAACGCCTTATTATCACATAGTCCAGACAATAATTGTGTCGTAACATAATCAACGAATATGAAGCCCGAGTTCGAGTTTTTTTGTTTTAGAATGCAAGTCGAAAATGCAGGGGAAAAGGGTTTATTATTCTAGTTCTAATTTTCTTCCGGAAAATTCGAAATATTACGACAAACAAAATTTCATTTCGAAACCCCTCAGCCATTCACTGCATAAAGATCTTGATCCTCTCATTAACAGGTAGATAATAATTACTCAGCCTTTAAGCAGCCTGAGTTAGAGGTTCTGATCCACCGACAGCTTCAAGCCTGTCGAAAAGAACACCATTAATATTAGTAATTTTTCCGACTGCACTGTATATATATATCAAAATTTATAATTAAGAAATACTGATGACATAATCCTCCATGTCAATAATGAACTAGACAGCATTAGGTGATAGTAAATACGACCTTGTTCACTAAAAAAACGAGTCGAATAATATTTCAGCCGAAGCCATGTTGGCTTAAGAAAAGTTTACCTTTTAAGTCCTTCCCCAACTTCTACTCTGAGAAAGTTCCCAATTTTTACGGTGGACCCCACTTCCTTGGACAGATTATTCAAAAGTGTCTGCAAAAGTTGCATAAAACGTAGATAAGAATCACCGAGTAGTGATTACAAATGGCATAAAATTTAATTCATAAACAAGCTTTGTCAATCAAAATAATAGTTGACTATACCTTTATGTTTACGGAGTCATCCACGATAAATTTCTGCTCCATAAGAACAACTTCCTCAAAGTACTTTCTTAGACGACCTTCAACGATCCTATCTATAGCCATCTGAGACTTTCCTGTACTCTCCGCCTGATAATAATACCAACCAAATAGTTACGGGAAGTGACTATTTCAACTGACAAATATTTACGTATTTAAAAGGTAATAATAATAATAATAATAAACACCATCAGCATATGTAACAAATATAAAAAAAAGTACCTGAGACCTAAGAATATCACTCTCATTGCCTAACGCATCAGCAGTTACATCTTCCTTTGTAAGAAACAACGGCTTTGCAGCTACTATATGCATTGCTAGTTCCGATCCGACACGTTGGACAGCATCGAGTGAAACATCCTTATCCTCTACCTCGAGCGATAAAATACCAGCAATACGGCCTATACCTGAACTTCAATTGAGACTTGAAACTATTATAACATAACAACACTTCAGAGATGTAAGAATTTGTTATAAGGAAGGAAATTTGAAGTCGTGTTACCTGGTTGGGGGCTCGTATGGAGATAAGTGGACAGGACACCTTGTGAAGGGGCGGTTATTACGAAACCCCCTCCAAGTTTGACATTCTCCCCCATCATTGCAGCCACTTCCGTAATTGCATTTCGAACAGTTCTCTCCCCAGTTAATTTAGCATGGTCAAAATTCATCTTCAAATCCTGTAAAAGCAAAACGATTATTGGAAACATTTACTTTAGAACCTCTATAAAGGTATAAAAATGGAAGCCATCATTTATAAGATGGACGGTTAAGTCAGAATGGAATGAGCCCAGAGATTCAGATGTAAATCCATAGGAAATCGGAAAAACAAATGATTACAATATCAACTGGAAATAAACATTAATAGTCTTCTTCAGACGTAATGAAGAAAAGTTACTAACCTCCAGACACTCAGGACTAAAAGGAGTAGCTACTGAAGGCTCTTTAGAACCTTCAACCAGCAAAGCAGACTTTGCCAACGATAAGGCCTACAAGAATCACAAATTCACAATATGCACACAAAAAGTATTAATTCAAAGGGAATACAAAAAGTCGGAAGAAAGAGTAGGATATACGGTGATTACAGAAATAGTTACTCGATCTAACTGACAATGGAATCTATAGGTCGTGTTGAAGCCATGAAGCTCAAAATAGACTACCTATAGCGTTTTCACCGATTTCACATTTGGTCCCTCGTGTTCACAAAAAACACATTTGGTCCCTCATGTTTAAAAAATTCAACACTTTTAGTCATTTCCGTTAGAACTAACGGAATCAAGCGTGTGTCCATCAATGCCTTAACTGACAGACTAACGGTAAATTGACGGAAAGGACCAAAGGCATTAAATTATTGAAACATGAGGGACAAAATGTGTTTTTTGTAAACATGGGGGACCAAATGTGAAATCGATGCAAAGTTGAGGGATGAACATTATAATTTTCCCAGCAAATATTATACATACCAGAGACTGAAATATGTCGTTCCTAGCAACAAAGTCTGTTTCACAGTTGAGTTCCACGAGAACAGCCTTCTTTTCATTCTGAGCCAATGCAAGCAAACCCTCGGCAGCAAGTCGAGAAGACTTCTTTGATGCAAGAACAACTCCTCTTTTTCTCAAATCCGTCTGTGCAGCCTCTGCAGTAATCGAACACAACTTCTACTTATTATATAAGCAGGCAGGCATGCACAGCTTCAATGTCCAAAAAAATGGAAAAAGAAAGGAAATTCATAGATTCACCGATATCCCAGTTGCAGGATACAAGAGCAGATTTCACTTCCTTGATTGGAGCACTTGTTCTCTCCCTGAGCTGTTTTATGAACTCACTTGTTCAGATGAAGATACTTCAGATGAGTAA